TATATAAATATTGTAAACGAAAATAAAACGATTGCATACGTTGACATATGATGACATAATAGAGACAATTTATTCAAAATAATTATTTTTTAACATTATTCTTTCGGATTGTATTTTGTATTTCTCATTCATACGACTTACGCTGAGTAAGGACACAGGCTGTCAAGAAATATTCGTGTTGAATAAATTTCATGTTTATATTATGTCAACGTATGCAATCGTTTTATTTTCGTCTACGTTTATGTATCAGTCACAAGTAATAAACTAAAAAAACAAAAAAAAGACAAAAAAAAATATCAAGATATTGCTATAGAGTTTTTTTGTTGGGTTTTTTTTTAATTTCAGAAAGGTTCGCAAAGTTTGTAATTCCTTTTATTTAACAATGTATCATTTGTTGATATATATTCACCTGGTTTAGGCCTATTAAAATCCTAACGTTTTTAAATTTAAATTTTATCAGAAATCATTGAATTAGAAAGAAAAAATTAAACTCTCATTGGATGCAACTTTTATTTATATTTATTATGTAAATTTTAAAACTAAAGGTAAGAAATATAAAAATAATTCCAAAAGTTTAATCTAACAATTAAAATAACACATTGTAAATCACTATGGGAAAAGAATGTAGATCTATAATTTCAAAATAAATAACCCACATTGGTCCTGATATCCACTCTTGTTTCTTTTACCATTTAAAAAAAATATATTTTATTGCTTTGCTAATAATGTTTTGATGTTATGTTATGTCATGTTGTTTTGGTATTGGATCCCATTGGAAATAAGTTGTTTCTGTTCGGCCTTAACGGTTATAATTCTGGTTTCATATGTTTTAATGATCAATTTTTTTTATTTATTTTTTTTGGTAAATGTATCTGTATTGTTATTCTGTATAATTATAAACCAAATGAAATGAAATGATATCAAATACTACAACAGACTTTAAATTTACACGCCGATAGGACAAATATATTTTAAGTATAATAAAAGCCCCGGGACTCGACAAATTTTGTATTGCTGAGGAATAGACATGTAATAGGGACATCTCTCAAACGATGTCAGACTGCTTATTAAAAGAATGGAACAAAGGTAAAAGACTGCTTTATTGAGCTGTGATTAATTTGAATGAGCTACGGGACTTGTAATTCTAAAACATCAAATTTACGTAATCAACAAGAGCCCATGCGTGGCAGTGGCGTGACAGGCGGGGAGGTGGGGGGAGGGCAGAAGGCAGACTGCCCCACCCCCTCCCTCCCCCCTTGACGGTTTTTACCGGGCTGACCAAGCCGTCGTACCGGGCTGGGTAAGAAGAGAAAAGATAGAGGGGAGAGGGAGGGAATAGAAAGAAGGGAAAAGAAAAGGAAAGAAAAAGGAAAAGAAAAGAGAAGAGAAAAATAAACACAAGAATAATAAGGGAGATATAAGGACCAGATATCACAATACCCTGCAACCCCTTCTCTACTTCAAAAAGTGTCCATAGCGCCTTTGATCTAAGCCGCCAGATATTCTCCGCGATCAATTCCGACGAAATTATAATTAAAATCACACAATTTTTTAGGGTTAAAGCTTGTGCTTGCCCTCCTTTGCCTTCTAAGTTATTTAAACACATAATAGTCCCAACTCAAGAGAGAAAATTTAAGATAGATCGTTTTACCTAAAAGAAGGGCCTCAATGTGTATGTGATGGTGAAAGAATATGTTTGTAATAAATAAAGACATAATGAAAATGCTTATATTCAGTTTCAAAAAAACGTGTGTGGCCATATATAACATAAGCCCCAAACCTCCAAAAAATCGACGGGTAAGAACGTGTGCTTGTCCTCCTTTGCCTTCTAATTGAACACATAATATGCCCAACTCAAATAGAAAGAACATTTAAGATAGATTGTTTTACCTAAAAGAAGGGCCTTAACGTGTATTGATGGTGAAGGAATATGTTTATAATAAATAAAACCATGATAAAAACGCTTATATTTAGTTTAAACACACGTGTGTGGCCTATATTATAAATAAGATAAGCCCTAT